TGCCACATACCACCTGTGGGAGAGGGGCTGAAATGGGGAGGATAATTTGTCACCCCCCCCCCCCAATGGGCAGTTCCCGTCTAAATATGACAACAGTACTCCATTTTTTAGCCTGACCTGTCTCTTGTAAAGGTAAAGGATATCAGTCGGAGTCAGGTACTTACTTGAACGCTACAGAGATTCGACCATTTTTACCTGCTTCCCTAGCGATGGATCGTCTGTACGACTTCGGCTTTAGGTGTGAGTGTGTGGCCCAAAGGTCTTTTAAGGCACGGTGCTTCCCCGAGAGGAACCTCCGTTATTCCTGATTGGTAGTAGTTCGGGATGACGGAGTGTAACTAACTCGGTCTTCGATACATTGAATATAACCAGACATTTTTGACCCCATTGGGGAGTTTGTGCAATATCGGAAGAGAGATCAGTCGCCAATCTCTAACCATCAACAGTTTCAGACGTATGGCCGTATATAGTCGTATCATCGGCATAGATGTTTACAAATGATCTGAGTATATTCTTAGGTAGACCATTTATGTAAATCAAAAAGAGGGTTGGTCTGAGGTGCGACCTCTAGTGTTCGCCAATGTTGACCTCTAGGGCCCCAGAGGACTGGCCATTTAGGGACCTACCTATTAGGAAGGGTTTTATGATGGAGAAGACCCTTCCAGCGATTCCATAACTGAAGAGCTTGTGTAGTAAGCCCTTGTGCCACACCTTGTTAAAGGTCTTTGAGCCCATATCGAATTTTAAATAAAAAGTTTTCCTCTCATATCCATTCCTTATATAAATTATAGTTAATAAATAAATTATAATTATTTCAAAATGACGAGTTACTTTTCACTCACCCTATGAAATGCCCTAATTATACATAGGTATAGATGCAAACTATTCGGGGTTGATCTGGACCACACGTTATAGATAAGAACTACGCGTGATAGATATGAACAATACGCTATAGACGCGAATTGCTCAAGATAGACATGAACAACTCGATATTGATTCAAACTGTCCAAGGTAGAGATTAACAACATGTTATCTTTGGGCATACAAGTAAAGCCCTTTTTGACAAGTACAGTGATAATGAAAGCGTGAAACGAAAAGATAGTTGTTATCAACTCTGGATATCTAAGTATGTCGCCCTTTATTTAAGCTCGTCTACGTTTACATTGAATATAGAACGCGTAGAAGAGAAATCTGAGTCAACAAGACTGATATTCGACCTCTTACGCGTTGATAATAGCATTTATCTCCTGGATCACTCAACCGCTCTATTATACCTTTAACGAGAGTAAGCTAGGGAAGAAAGATTAAATCTCCTATTTGTATTTCCCCCATTATGGGCATTATTATATCCATTAATTAATAAGACCCATATTTCACGGACGAAACGGAATATCTGAAAGTGAAAAGAATTACAAAAATGCTTTGTTCTTAGAGAGACTTTGATAATACTAAGATATACAACAAAATATATACAGACGTGTCCCACACATATATCTACACTTCAAAGCAGACTGTAAGGAGAAACAAAAATGAACGGTCTTACATATAGTATGGACATACTCCTGTGTCTGGAGAAGCCATGTTTAGGACTCTAAAACTCTTGAAAGGTGCCAGATTCATCTATGTTCAAGGCGAGGGCATATTCCACGAACGGGAAACAGCTTGTCTTGGCTTTTTTCCAAACTGAGGACTACGAGTTGGAGTTTCATTCTATAACTGGGAAAGATATATTCCCAAAGAGAAACGGCACCATGGGCTTGTAAGCTGCTGGTGGGGAGACAGATTTAGCCTCTGCCAAGGACATGGATGGCGCGAGATAAAGAAAGCAACCTTACCGTTTGGTTGCTGTAAACGAACGGAAATTGACTGGCGCTTTCGTCACTTTATGGAGTGACGTCTTTAAGCGGTGGTCACATGACCCACTTGACTTATCTGCAAATGAAATTTCTAAAAGAGTTTTTTTTTTCGAAACTGGGCTGTCATTTGCAAAGAACATCAAAAAGATCTCTTTTTAAAAATGACGGAAAATAAAAAAGGGGACCTAACTGATTAAAATAAGATCTTTCCTTTCACACCTCACACATATTTATGTTAAACGTCCCTATTTTTATGGGTATTCGTGCGCCTGGGTAATGACAAAAGTGATTTCTGGTTACCTAAATAAAATCTCAGACTGTCACATCCAACGAAAATGATGTCTTTTGAACAGCGCGCTTTATTCCAAGAGTTTTCTGGCAGCAAGACTTGTTTTTCCTAATTAACCAGATTATTTTGTTTCTAATATTTGGACATTACAACAACTGCTTTTTATCGAAATTAGCCTGACCAAATTCCGTTTGCAATAATAACCATTTAACTCGCCTTGTACACATTTGGACAACACGCTATAGAAACGATGTTCTCGATGGAGATATGAATAAGATATTCGAACTGAATATGTAATGATAGATAAAGTAGGCCTGTTATTTAACCCATAGATGGGGGGTGGATTTATACCTTTTTTAAGGGCATTTGGGCGTAAGTGAATGTAACGAACCTTTTGTAACCGAGGAAAAGGTTACTGAATAAGAATAACCAAAACGAAGGTTAAACGAAGGAAATGGAACGGTAATATTTATAACAGGAACAGCATTAACCAGCGGTGTGTAGTAAGTAACCAACTGTTAGTGGTGAGCTAGAAGTGAATCAAGGTGAATCCCAAGGGGAAGACGACACTGAAGATATTCCCTAACCTCCCCACACGGTCAGACGTGACACAAGGCCGAATTTAATGTGGGGTATCCGAGCCCGTAGTCTCGGACAAAAAATACCACATGAACCCCGTATACACGGAGTCGGATAGTTGTCTACCTCCCCTACACGAGGCACTGCCCTTCGACATAACCGCGTCTGGGTTCCTCTTTGCCCGGGGGTAGATAGTTCGAGAAGCACACAGTGGAAGAGCACAGTGAGATATTCACTAACCGCCCCACGCGTCCGGATGCAGCACAAGGCCAAGTTTATTGTAGGGTATCCGAGCCCGTAGGTTTTGTCAAAAATTCCCTGTAGACCACATAAAAAAACGGGGTCGGGTAGCTGTCTACCACCCCAGACGAGACTCTCTCCCCTTCGGTATAGCGTCGTCTGGGTTCTTCTCTGCCCGGAGGCAGAGAGTTCGACCAGCACACAGTGGAAGATATTCACTAACCTACTCACGCGGTCAGATGTGGTACAAGGCCGAATTTAACTTTGGGTGAACCGAGTCCGTAGGCTCGGGCAAAAATTCCCCATAGACCCCGTATACACGGGGTCGGGTAGCTCTCTACAATCCCCAGACGAGGCTATGCCGAAGGGCAGAGTTTCGTCTGGGTTCCTATCTGCCCGAAGGCAGAGAGTTTGACAAGCACACTGTAGAAGACGACACTGAATCAACATACAATATATTCCACTGTATTTATAAGGATTGGGACATACCCATTATAGTCCATAGGTACGGTATAACAACCCCAACTTGAATTCGAACTCGACTCTCCGATTTCTAAATTATTTTTTAATGATTTTAGCACAATATTATAGTGATTTTCCAAGCGTAGCTTAGAAGTGACACAAGGCTGAATGTAGGGAGCAGCCAGTGAGGATCGAACTCACTACTCAGTCGCAAATGATCTAACAAGACAAGCTTTGTAAACATTACACTACGTCGAGGTGCCCAAGAACAATATTATATTTTGCTCATGCGTTGACGGAATTTCTTTTTTCTTTTTCCTCCTTGTTACGAATTCAATTACATTCTTTTTCCTAAATTTAATTATTTTTTAAAAAAAAATTGTAATGTCAATAGTATTTAAATGGGAATAATATATAATAATTAATTCATTAATGAGGCTTGTCTTGGGCGTCTTTGCCATGAAGGTAGTTAATTAAATGCTGGTTAGACGGGCATTAAATTGAACTTAGAAAAAGTGGACAAGAATATTATAGAAATGGGAGCGGAAGAAAAACAATGTGAAGAATAGAAGTATCGAAAAATGAACGAATAAAATATACAAATAATTTCTTTCTAATCATTTCACCCTAAGTAAGGCAGGAATGCTACTAGTACGCAGGGGATTACAGAGAGTGACAGTGAGAGAAAAAACTGTGTATCAGAGGAACCAAGTTAAATTTAAAAGCTGAACTAGATTCAAGATACAGAAAATGGCGATTGACCTTGCATTTAAATTTTTGAAGATTGTAGTTATCAGGGAATCAAGGAAAGGGAGTTCCACTGGCGAGACGTGCGAATAAAGAAATTGTTGAAGTAGTAGTGGCGGTTATATTTAATTAATTCAACAGTAAAATGGTGAAACCTAGATGCCAATCTAGTAGCCTACTTAAACTCACGTAGTCCGGGCACCAGGGAAAACATCTCGTCAGAGCAGTAACCATAAAAATATTTGTAAAAAAAAGACAGAGGGAAGCCACGTCACGTCGGTGAGAAAGTGACTGAAGTCGAGATGCCAAGTCAAGATCGATTACATTGCAAATACTTTCTGGAACTTGTCATGAGCCTATAGATGGGTAGCAAGGAAACCCAACCAGATATGGCAACAGTATCCAATGCACGGACGAATGGTAGATTTTTTAAATGTCAAAGATGGACTCTGACCAGAAAAAAAAACCTCCTGTCACGACATAGTGACGTAACTTTCCTTACAGTAGATGCAGCTGTTGATTCGATGTAGTTGTTGAAAACGTAAGGGCAAGAAGGCACAGTGTATTGCTCTTCATGAGTCTAGCATCAGCCATGCTGATGGTGGGAAGAAAACTTTCTTTATGGTGGTTAAATGAGAGTAGTTTCGTTTAGGAGGCATTCAAATTTACAAGTCATTTCCTGACCCAGTCAACCACTGATTGAAGGTCCTGTTCAAGAGCTGCGGCCAAGTCGACGGATTTGCTATTGAGACAGGAGTAAGTGGCCGTTTCATCAGCATAAATGCCTATTTGGGAACTGATGGCATCAGGGAGATCTTTGCTGAAAATCAGAAACAGCGTAAGACATGGTGAGAATAAGTAAAAGGGGAAGAAAATAATAGGAAGAAAGGAAGGAAGGAAGGAAGGAAGGAAGGAAGGAAGGAAGGAAGGAAGGAAGGAAAAGAAGAAACAACTGAGTTGGGTGAAAGGCTATGAAGGTGAAAGAAATGATAAAGAAAAAAATAACAAATGAAAGAGAGTAAAGCATGACGGAAAGAAAGAAAGAAAGAAAGAAAGAAAGAAAGAAAGAAAGAAAAAGTCAGGAAGAAAGAAAAATGAACAAAAAAAAAGGGTGAGGGAGAATGAAACAAATAGGGTAAAAAAGAAACAAACTGTGGTAATAAAATAATCACATCCCGTCTCCCCTCTCGCCTGTAACCACCCATCAAAATAAAATAAACGTTTTTTAGAAAGAAAAGATGAATTGATAGAATAAAGGAATTAAAGAAACAATGAATGCAAGAGAATGAAAGAATAAAGAAAACATAGTTAATTGATTAGAGAAAGAGAGAATGAATGAATCTAAAAAAGAATATGATAAAAAAAGAAAGAAAAATTGAATGAATTTCAGAAAGGAAGAAATAGTGAAGGAATTAAAGAAAAGATGAATAAAAGCGATTGAAAGAAAGAAAAGCGAAAACGAAAAGAAATATTTGATTAAAGAAAGAAAAATGAATAAAAGAGTCTGAAAGAACGAAAGAATAAAAGAAAAAGAAATAAGTGATTAAAAAAGAAAGACATTTTGAAAGAAAGACATTTTGAAAGAAAGAAAGACATTTTGAAAGAAAGACATTTTGAAAGAAAGAAAGAAAGAATATTAATCAGATGAGTGTTGATTCGTTGCCAACATATTCTGTAATGACACTCAGTTGTCTCATAAATTCACTCTTCTACATATTTTTCCCTCCTCCAGTTACTGATTAAGTTTGTCAGATGCAATTTTATGAAAATTATGCAACGACTATTATATAATAAATCTCCATTAGACATTGTCAGCTTCCATCACGTTTCAATAAATTTCACATCTTTTTTCTTCTTCTTTTTAGCCTTAAAAACCAAATGATCGAAATCGGTCCGAAATTCTATTTTTTTCTTTTTGCTTAACATCAAATGTCAAAGGTTTCCTAATCCTCCTGAACGCCATTATAGCGAGAGTCGGTTTTTTGAAACGAAAACATAAAAGCATCTTTTCGGTTCGCGTCTTTAGCGTTCAGTTTCAACCCCCAAAAACATAACTCAAATGTGAATTATGTATTTTCAATGGAAAGATTCTTACATTGATCCAAACAGTGTATCATAAAACATCGATGGAGCCGGCCGAAAAGAAAAAAATCATCATTGTTTACAAATATTCCTCTGTTCGGAACATAATGTCGCGTTTTGCAGACGAAAGAAAATATTTAAAAACTATGTGTGGAGTAATTGATATCGGCTTGGATTGAGGAATCGGAGAGCTGAGTTCGAATTCCAGTCGAATCCATAACATTCACTTACGTATTAATACCCTTGGGAAAGGTATGAATCATCTTCTTCTCCCTCCAGCTATGGGTAAATAGCAGAACAGACTGGGTTCTATAGCCTTGGATGGCAACTGGTCTAGGAGAAGGAAAACTCTGAATTCAAAACCTGTGGAGGATCATTTGGGGACCTTGTGGCTCTTAGTGCACCAGGTCTCTGTAATCGGCCCTTCAAAAAAGTGTGGATGGTCCTGCACGAAATCTTCACCACTATAATCAAATCTCATGTGCTATACATGCGGGTTGGGGACCGCTTGTGAATTCCAAATTCCCATGAAACTCCAATATTGGAGCCGGCTCAACCCACCTCGGGTGAATGCCGTTACAAGAACAAGAGAGAGATATATATTTAAAGAGTAAGGAGAAAAATATTTGAGAAAGAGTGTCATTTATATTGTCAATAATTGGATCGAAGAAATTTTAAACTTTTACTAATTGTTAGCAACAATAATAAGATGGAGTAAAACTAGTAATTTAAATAATAATCGTGGGAGATTTTTACATTGATCCAAACTGTGTGCCATAAAACATTAATGTAGCCGGTCGGAAAAAATGAAATATCCTTGTTTATCCTTGTTTACAAAGATCCCTCCATTCGGAAAATAATGTCGCATTCTGGAGACGAAAGAAAATATTCAAACATTTTATATATACGCTGCTCTGCCAAAGATGTCTCAGATGGCTGGGGCACGTACGCCGTATGGGTGCCGGTCGCATCCCAAGAGTCATCCTGTACGGAGAGCTGTGCGGGATGTCCCGCCCAACTGGAAGACGTCAGCTCCACTTCAAAGATGTCTGCAAACAAGATATGATAATAAGATTGTGTAAAACTAATAATAAAATAATAATAGTGAAAATGTTTCATCTAAAAAGCAACAATAATAAGATGGAGTAAAACTAGTAATAAAATAATAATAGTGAAAATGCTTCATTTAAAAAGCAACAATAATAAGATGGAATAAAACTAGTAATAAAATAATAATAGTGAAAATGCTTCATCTAAAAAGCAACAATAATAAGATGGAATAAAACTAGTAATAAAATAATAATAGTGAAAATGCTTCATCTAAAAAGCAACAATAATAAGATGGAATAAAACTAGTAATAAAATAATAATAGTGAAAATGCTTCATCTAAAAAGCAACAATAATGGAATAAAACTCGTAATAAAATAATAATAGTGAAAATGCTTCATCTAAAAAGCAACAATCATAAATTGGAGTAAAACTAGTAATAAAATAATAATAGTGAAAATACTTCATCAAGCAATAATAAAAAGATGCACTAAAATTAATACTAAGATAATAATAGTTAAAATGCTTCAGTAAAGAAAAATATAATGGACGATTTCCTGCGAAAAGTCCGCACAAGACATACACGGTTGATGAAATTAATCTTAAAAAGTAGTTCAGTAATCTCCCTAACGTTTTTTTTTTCAAAACGTAGTGCTGGGAAGCTATGCATCAATCCAATACCCTCAGGCCTTATGGCCACCGATCTCTTTGCTCTACCAAAAAAAGATTTTCTACGGAAACAGTTTCACTCCATCATACGATAGTTACCGCTTAAGACACTGTTGCTTTTAAGCTATCGTATTTTTAGAAAAACTTGTCTGCATCTGACATTAATGTACAGTTTGAGGGAACGTTGAACTTTTTCCAAATGAGAATAATATTTCGTGCACTTGTGTACGTCCAACGGGAATTCATCGTCTAAACCAATAACTAACCACCGTTTCACATATCTAATTACGTGACCATGTCTGATATATGATCACAGATACTTAGAGCCAAGGAAGCCTTTAAAGAGAGCTGAAATATGTGTCCGGTATACGGATATGCGCTCTTGCAATGATTGGCTATTCCAAGGACACGGCTAACGATTAATTACAACCTAACCGGATGGTGTTCGAATAACGGTCAAGCTAATCGTAGTACCTTTAACTTCTTTTAGATAATGCATTATTATCGACAATTAGACTAGTATTTCTTTCATCTTAATTTCAATTGCTTATTGAAACCACGCTGACCGTCATTCTACAGCCAATAGTCTCTGAACACTATCGATATAGACTCGTTGTCTGAGTAGTTGCGATGAGAAGCAACTGAAATTAAGATGAAAAATTTTATTCAAAAACTAATAGTTGTAACACGTCCCGGGTAAGACGATAAACTACGTCCGATAGCAAGGCCTCTGATCAGGAGGATTTCAGGAGCGAAGAACACCCTCTTAAATGCTGGTGTTCCCAAGTCCACCCTGACCCGAGATGGTAGCACCTGTTAGGGTCCCAGCTATGGGCAAATAGTTAACCCAAGACTGGGGTCAAAACACTATGAAAATGTAAAAATAGGATTTATAACCAGAAATAATTTATAAAAACATTTATTATCAGCAATACATTTTGGAAAAAAAAAAAAGATATGACCAGCTATGCATTTCTAAAGAAAAAATATTATCAGAAATAAAAAAAGAATTTGTCGGCATTAAATAACCTATTGAGGTTGATAAGCCGTAAAACAAACTAAACCAAACTAAACCAATAGTTGTAACTAATCTGTAGCCTTTAACTGCTTAGTATTGCAGAACAACTCTAAATTTTTACTTTTATAGTCTTACAAAAAATGGAAGACAAATTTCAAATTTTTTGTGGTCCATGCAACCACGACACTATCTTGTAGACAAACTTTCTACTTTTCTGGTGAAATTATCATTTTTACCCATATTGATGAACATATATAGCTAGATACTGGTGTTTTTACTTCTTCTATGTGACGTAGGCGATCATGGCTCTCCACAATTTGTAGATCGTAATAAATTTTGTCTTTTTATCTCTGAAAGTTCAACTGTCTCTTCCTGATGTTAAGTATGGTTCCTTTTTGTTTTCATTTTCTCCAAAACTCTGTCGTTGCTCACATGATCGGTCCATGTTATCCTCAGCATCCTTCTGTAGAACTACATATTTGTTGCTTCAAGTATCTTCTTCATCTGTGAGGAGATTGTCCATCATTCACTGCCATATAGTAGGACTGATTTTACCTAGTAGTTCAGTACTCTTTTCTTTGTTTCTAACGATGTTTTTTCTGTTTCTTAATACTCTGCTTAGCTTTTGGAAGGCAACTTTGGTTATCCTCACGCATCTTCGGATTTCAGTGACGCCCTTCCCGTCCTCAGAGCCTAAATATTTATATGTTATATAAATTAACGTTTCATATAAGCGGTTTCATTACTTTCTTTTCTGAGTTTTCGGCGATTTACTAGTAATAAGACTCCTTCAAAACTCATCATCTTGAAACGACACTCATCAGACCTTGAAACGCACGTTCCTCTAAGAAAAAAAAATAAAACTGTTTGCCATGAAGAATGTTCTCCAAAAGGCTGAAAATGCATCTCAAGCCTCGAGTTTCTTTGCAGGCATATTATTTGTATTTGTTATCTCTTGTAAAGATTGCAGAGCCGTTCAAACTTTTCATAACTGTCTTCAGAGTATTTTCAGCTATCATAAATCATTTTCAGTTTTATTTGATAGAATCGTGTCTTGGTGGCTATTTATTCATGTGTAGCTTGTTTTGGGCAAAGTTGACCAGGCGAAACCCATCCCTCTCCTGGTCTAACCACGGTCGATGTTCTCAGACTTGAAAGCTCGTTTTGGTCAAGAACTCTTGGACGTTAATTCTATTGAGGGAACCCTCCGCTCTGACCGTTGCTTTCAGGCCAGGAAGCTTACTCTCAACGATGCGGTGTCATCACCACTCTGGATATACCGCCAGTAATTCAGTCGCATGGCGTACATTTAGCCTGTAATCGGTTGAAGATCGTGTAGCTACAGTCTCTCAGTTGAACACCTCCCTGGTGAGAACCTCGGTTCCATTTCACATAGTGTCAAGCGCATAGTTCGAGACTGGTGCTACCACGAGCAATAAACTATAAAATAAAATAAAAAAAACTTAATTCAACATTGACATTTACAGGATATTTAAAGTTGTTATACCTGAACGTACCTATTCTATTGTAAATAGAATCTCCCTCAGATAAGTAGTAGTAGTAGCAGTCGCCAGGGAAGCTCAGTGAGTTGTGTGAGTCACTCGATGTCGGACATTGAAGTATCAACCACCACAACGAGATTGCTGCGTCATTAACTATTATTTCAAGTTCCTAACGTTTTGTACGTCGAACCTAATTTAGGACCGACTTAGTGAAATACAAGCCTCCACTGTGAAAACTAAAAGTGTTCTACCGTGTCTACAGTACATGTAGTTCCCCAACGATCATGGTGCGTTACGGGACTCGTGATTGCGATGATGATTTAAAGAAAATTAAAATAGACTAGTGTTGCCTTTAAGACAATTATTTAAACCCCTACAAGAAGTGCAGATATATTTTGTCTTAAATGTCCGATAGGGATCATATGTGATGAAAATAAATCCCACAAACGGACCGAACCTTATAATTCAGTAACACAGGACATTTCCTCGAGGCAGTACCTCTGCGACAGGAAACGGTAAATGTTGAGGAGACTAGACTGTTTGTCTCCTCCGGTCCCATGTACGTTGAGACTCTTGTTTTAAACCCGGCCCTGTGCCAGACTTTGTTCGAGTGAGAATGCGATTAAATGCTTTCATCTAATCAGAATTAAAAGAAACGAATATGAAGAAATATTTATGGTCTGTGTTATTCGCTGGCGTCTTTCGTCGCCGTACAGAGTCTGAATCAATTTACAAGGAAACATTTCAAGTGGCTCTGAGCCAGCCTAGATGTTCAAGAGACGGTATGAAAACGAAAGCTTGTTAAAAAAAAAAACATGACTCTTATTCATGTAGGAACTCTTCGACAATGTAATAAAGGAAAGCCAGAAGAAAGGACTAATTATCAATTGTAAGAAAACAAAATGTAAGGTTTTAGCAAGAAGCACATTTCCAAATTCGAGCTACGAATTGAAAATGTCAGAATCAAACAGGTACAGACATCTAATTACCTGGGGAGTGTTTTAAAAGACGACGGAGAGGCACATAATGAGGAAAGTGAGTTTGAAGAATTTGACACTCAGAGGGCATATTGAGGAGATAGAAGCAAACAGCGCGTAAATAGGTGACTGACCAGAGTTTTGGAATGATAGTAAACATCGCAAAGAGCTACAAAAGATAGGAAGTTGTGGAGAGCCATGATCACCCACATTCTGAAGAAAAAAAGAAGATATTAAGTTAGTAGAGTAAATAAGTAGATTAAAGATAGGAGGTAGAGTTATGGATAGCGGCTCGGATTGAGGAATCGGAGAGCCGAGTTCGAATTCCAGTCAAATCCATTACATTAACTTACGTGCTAATACGCTTGGGGAAGGTATGAATCCTCTTCTTCTTCCTCCCACCCCCCAAGATATGGTCAAATAGCATGTCAGAACGAGTTCTATAGCCTTGGATGGCAACTGGTCTACCGCAGAAAAAATGCCAACCTACTGCGGGAAAAATCTCCCACGTCAGTCATGTATCGAAAGATACATGATCGATTAAGCATGTATCACGCATGACACATGACTGACTGAGAGTAAATAGACACAATCATGTATCGAGACGGGTAGATTAAAAAGACGTTGCATAGGGAGAGATCTTTATGGGCGTTTTTTTTTAAGTTTGACACAGAGACTCTATTGTGGGATATTCGCTAAAAAATACTGAGAATGACTTCAAGAATTCCTATAAAAAGCATCGCTCGACGGCAATATTTATCAAAATAAAAACCAAATTAAAATCCTTAGGACAAATAAAACTTAAATTTGTGAATTTATTAGGCGTAATCTGGACGATGGATATATTAACCGTTTCCTTATACGGAAACATCCGACATTCATTGACCAAGCAACCAGTGCTACTGACGTAGAAATTTATAAAATCTTTCTATTAAAATAATTTTTCAGAACAATAGATTTCTCTGGCCCAGTAAGTATCATCGCTCTTTCCACTACTGATAGGGGCTTCCTTCCAAGCCTTTTATTTTATGTTGTGCAAAACGTCGACATCTTGATTATGTCATTATTTACTCTTTGCGTTACGTGCGTCATCCATTTTAGTTGTTGCTATTGTTGAAAGTCCTCAATTTACGTGGCTTTTATTATCTGATACTGTTCTTTGTGTGTGATTCTGTAGCGCCAGTTCAGAGAAACGTGGTCCACGCTTCACTCGTTCAAAATCATTTTAATCTGCGATTTCAGAAAGCGGTTGTATACAGATGACAGTTTAGATATTCTTGAGCAAATTTGGCGCCAACTTTGGCATCCATATGAAAGTCTCAAACAAGACTCTGTTAATGTTTTGGTTTTGTACCAACTTGTGGTATTATGCGAAACTACCCCTAGCACATTCTATTTATGTTCAACTTCCTTTTCTCCTATATTAGATTTGTTATAATTGATCTATACACTGATGTATTGAAGTGTTTCGAATTTAATCTTTCCACATCCTAAATTTTTATGGTGGATTCAGGGCATTTAAAAAAAAGGGAAAGGTACTACATTATGTGAAGGTGGCTTAGCGGTTAAAAAATATGGAATCGGCGAACCGAGTTCGAATTACGCCCTATCGGTTACGTTCATTTCAATTTTTCCCCTACCAACTGATGGGTGAATAACAATACCCGGTTGACGCCCTAGCCTTGGTTGAAATCTAAACATTGAGGAAATTGAACCAGTAAAGAGATATTATCGCTTACATTCTGGAAGGATAGCTTGAGTTCACTTTCACATTAATTCCCTTCTTCTTATCTTCCCCCCGCCCACCGTCCACGCCAAAATATAAGCTAAAAAGAACACCAAACTGGCCTTCTCGAAAATCAAGACTCTGAATTCAAAACAAAAGGGAGTAAGCAATAGGAAACTAATCCACTATCTTTCGCAATAAGTCATAGCAATTCACAGATAATAAAGAAACGGAAATTGTGGAGAGCCGTGACCACATACGTTCTGAGAGGACGTGATATTTAAAATAATAGTGGATTCAAGTTCAAATGCCAGCCTAATCTCTTGCGATTACCACTTTTGCCGTAATGCCATTAGAAAGGTATGAATCCATTTATTCTTTACCCCCACCAAACGATGATTTAGAGTGCAGGGTAGAATGGACTCTATAACCATGGTTGGAAACCAGTCTAGGAGAAAAATATTACTTAAAACATAGCGAAATCAAAGGGAAAGCACTGTTTTTTTTCTTTTCCACAACGTTATGACTACTCAGAGATAATAAAGAAAAGGAATCTGTGGAGAGCCATAATCGTTTAATACCTGAAGTGTCAAGACCTTTTATTAATGTACTGTAAGGACGATGCTAGGGTTTTTTAATCCCTCCAAAATGAAACTGCTCTCATTTAGCCACCACAGAGATAACTCCCTGTCCACCATTAGCATGGTTGATGCTAGACTGCAGAAGAGTGTCCCACTGTGACATTTTGGCCTCACGCTATCGAATGGTTTGAAGTACAACATCTACATTGAATCAATAGCTGCATCTGCTGCAAGGAAAATAGGTTCACTGTGTCGTGCCAAAAGTTGTTTTTTTTCGTCAGAGTCGATCTTATATATCTAGAAATCTACCATTCGTCCTTGCATTGAGTACTGTTGCCATATATGGTTTGGTGCCCCAGCTGTTCCTTTCGAGCTTCTCAACAAAATCAAAAGAAGAATCTGCAATGTAATCGATCCTGACTTGGCATCTTGACTCCAGTCACTTTCTCACAGACGTGATGTGGCTTCCCTCTGTCTTTACTACAAATATTTTCATGGCAACTATTCTGTCGATCGTTTTATCTCTCTGGTGCCCCGACTACATAAATTTAAGCGTGCTACTAGACTAGCATCTAGGTTCCACCTTTTTACCGTTGAAACAATTAAATGTAACCGCCACTTCTACTCCAAGAGCTTATTTTCTTGCACTTCCCGCCTGTGAAACTCCCTTCCGTTTACTTGCTTCCCTGACAACTACAATCTTCAAAAATTTAAATGCAACGTCAATCGCCATCTTCTGATGTCTTGAACCCCGATCCTCTTTGATCCTTTTTTCACAACCCCCCCCCCCCCTGTACACAGTTTTTTTTCTCTCGCCTTCACTCTGTGTAAGCCCCCTGCGAACCAATGGCAGCCCCGCATTGCTTGGGTGAAATGCTTAGAAAAAAGGTGGGAAAATGTGACACCGAAATCCGAACATGCATTGGAATAGCATTCGAAAAGCTAAGCAAAGTATTAAGAAACGGGAAAAATTCGTTACAATCAAAGAAAATAAATTCCCCTTTATTGCAATGAATGCTGGACAACCTCCTCGCGGATGAAGAGAAGACTGGAGGCAACAGAAATGTGGTTCTACAGAAGGATATTGGGATTAACATAGGTAACATTTTTCTTAAGACATTTTAGTTGCTCATGCGCACATGAGCAACTAAAATGTCTTAAGAAAAATGGCAACAAAAAGTACACTTATACTCAGAATTAGAATTGAGACAATCGAAATTTCTT